TATTATAAACTCCCAAACGCGCCTTTAGGCATCTATAAATTCTTTCAACGCTTTTTCCTTCATCAATAATTCGTTTTAGAACACTCCTTTCGCTGCGTAATATATTATATTTTTTTCGATCTTGATCTAGAACGAATTTTGTTTGTTTGCTCCATCATGGAATTTCGGATTACACGCCATAAATATAAAGTTATCTTGATAAGTATAGGTACGAAAGATGTTCACTGATATCCTAGGTGAATAGATATTGATTTATTTCTAAGGGCCATTTTTATTATTGATTATATTGGAGATAATAGATGTTATCAATAAGTAAGTATAGGTACACTTCTTATAGACATACAGGGGAGAACTGGGCTGAAAAAATGTAGAGGGCTTTGTGGATCAAAGGGCGCAACATGAAACGATCGTCTGGAGTGTTTATTCGAAGTGCCCAATTTTTTCATTTTATAATTTATACATTAGACTTAGAACTCGGAATTCCGACATAGATCTCGGAATTCTGACTTAGAACTCGGAATTCCGACTTAGATCTCGGAATTCCGACTCAGATCTCGGAATTCCGACGTAGATCTCGAAATTCCGACTTAGATCTCGCAATTCCGACGTAGATCTCGAACTCCCGACTTAGATCTCGGAATTCCGACTCAGATCTCGGAATTCCGACGTAGATCTCGAAATTCCGACTTAGATCTCGGAATTCCGACGTAGATCTCAAACTCCCGACTTAGGTCTTAGAATTCCGGCTTAGATCTCGGGATTCAGGCGTAGATCTCGGGATTCCGACCTAATCTCCAAATCGTATTTAGTTCTCATTTATTGCCGCTCTTGCAGTAGGAAATAGGTCCAATTTGTGCATAGAATTTGTGTAAGTTACTGTTCTAGCTATTTGAATGATCATTTTGATGATCATGGCGTGAAGCAGGCACTTTCGAGTTCTTCCCTCATGGTGCGAGTTTCAAAGAAGTTTTGAAAAAATTCTGAAATGCAATCACGCAGTACCCCAATATCTTCGGCCCGCTCAGGCTTACCATTTGGAAGAATCATTTCAATCTGGATTGCTTGAAAATGCACTTCTGTTTGTTTAAAAGCAGCAAGCAACTTATTGAAAATATTACCTCTGTGCAGAATAAGTTTTTCTGAACTCGAACTTATTTGTTGGTTATTGTCAAATGGAGGATTATCTCATGATGAAGAACACTTAAATTTGGAACATTCTCAACTAGTGATTATTCAGTTTCTTCAGGACATCAAGTTAGTCAAAGGATTCATGAATCATAACTATTTCTTCAACTAAGTTAATTGTTCAATGATTAGATATTCTCAAATTGTTCGTTCAACCTTCGACTACCACTATGATGTTATGAAATTATTACTGAGACCCGGTTGCAAAAGTCGGAATTTCGATATCTAAGTCGAAATTCCGAGATCCAAGTCGGAATTCCGAGTTCTAAGTCGGAATTTCGAGATCTAAGTGGGAATTCCGAGATCCAAGTTGGAATTCCGAGTTCTAAGTCGGAATTTCGAGATCTAAGTGGGAATTCCGAGACCTAAGTCAGAATTCCGAGATATAAGTTGGAATTCCGAGATCTGAGTCGGAATCTCGTTCGAAATTGAAATTAATATTATTTTTTCCCTTCTACGCTTTCGTAGAATACAATTTATTAAATAAGGTCTTATTTTTCTATTGGGATACACAGATATCGTATTGACCATGGATGAGAATATATTTGACAGTTTTATTTCACAGCATTATCAAATACCAGGTGACACGTGATAAAGTACCTATCACCATTTGTTGAAATTTTTATTATTACTAGGGATTTTATTTCCTTCTTGAATTAACAGATTCATTTTCACTACCTGAAAAAAATTACAGGGAGCAGCAAGAAGTGTAGAAAATTTTAATTGAACACGAAATATAATCCCTCTTCTTTAAAATTGTCTCATGAAAAGCTTTTTAAAAATACCTTCCTCAATTTATTTATCTTCTGTCTTCTTCAAAATATAGGCTTTTGAAACTAACAGAGTATTTAATGATTTTAGAGAGTATAGATATAGGCCATGACAATGATCACAATTTCAATTTTCACTCACAGCCAATAAGAATCGAACGTCACGTCACTTTTACTAATTTCCAAATTCATATTTAACATTTTTCGATTATCAATTTTATGATGATGTCTTTTTCAATAGTTATAAGTTGATTAACCTCCACTAGTTTTATGATTCAGATTTAACTTTCTTCAAAAATTTCCCTTTCTTTTCAATAACTATAGGTATAAAAGCTGATTACTTACTTACAGGTACACACTGATGATGAATGTTAGTCGAAAGCGCTGTGTTATGAAAAATTCACGTTTATTTTGCACGGAATATAACTTTTCGTATTATTCTGGCTTTTTTGATATACCATCAAGGGCGGCGCATAGCAATAGCGCGGAGGGCCAGTCCGGACAGTCCGCCCCTGTAAAATAGATAATGAACAGGAATGTGAGCATTAATGAATTATTTCAATTGATAACCAGTGTCAATAGATTTTGTTTTTAACGTTGAGAAAGTGCTCGAAAGGAATGTAGGGACATTGTACCCATTTCAGTTCAAAACACCTGATATTATTATCGCAGTTTTGTACTTTTCAAGGATATAAACTCATCATTTTGAATGTACCTACTTATCTGATTTTAGAAGATCAACCAACGATCTAGTGACATTCAATTTTCCCTACTATATCAGTGATATGCACTGAATATAATTACTATTTGCCTCTATGGATCTACATTTTTTACATGGATCATATTATTATGTATGCACAAGTGGGACAACTACTTTTCCCCACATGTTGCATACTATATATATAGTTTTTTATACAACTACACATATTTAAAGAATACAAGTAATGTAACTCTGGTACTGAAAGTACTACGCAACATTGAATATTATGACATGATTGTAACCAAATAGTAGACGCCTTTCCTAGTTCCTCAAAGTATACCTACCTACCTACCTACCGTAATAGTACACTTTCTAGCTAGACGCATGTGTATTATATTATATGTACCTATACCTATTGCTTCTTAAGTTTAGAGTTTGGTAAAAGAACCACGAAAACAGTAACAATCAATTTAAATGCATAATGAATACTGCTAGACACCGAGAATCCACCATTACGACAGCTCTCCTAAATGTCACTAGTCAGTAGGCGCGAAATGAAAATTGCTGAAATTCTGTTGAAAAATTGCGAACTGTTGCAGCTAGTAATTTTGATTTCTTGGTAATTCTCTTGTGTATATCATCTCCATTATTTTTTCATGAATGAAATAAAAGGAAAAAAGATCTCTTGTTATGCTCTGGGAGGCATAATCCCCCCACTCATCTCGAAATCCTCACATAATCTGACCTATCACAAGCCAAAGATTTTTTTTCATGTTCTGGTTCCTACGAAAAGGGATATCCTGTAATGTTCCGAGAACATCTTGAGAACCAAGGGAAATAAGGTAGGAATTGGTGTTCTTCTTAAATTTCTGGAGGTTATATGCCTCGGGAAACACCTCCCTTGGAAATGTGTTCCAGAGCCTCGCTCTTCGTTGGATGAACGAGTCTTTGAAAAGGGATGTTCTTCAGGTCTCCAAAGTGACCACGAAGGGGTACGAAGCCTCAACTCGACGAGTTAATCTCGCGGGGACTGCCAAGGGAGGAACAATTGTTGATATTTCAGAAGAGCATCATCGTCCATGTAAATATCTACAAAATAGAGCCAGATCGCCAACTTTTCTGCGGTGTTCCAGAGAAGTGAGTGAGTTTGTGAGCGAGGCATCATCCACAAGACGGATTGCCCTTCCTTGGAAAGAATCCAACAGTTTCAGGGTATGTTTGGGTGCTGCACTCCAAATATGGGAACAGTATTCCAGGACAGGTCGGATCTGTGCCTTATAGATGATAAGCAGCTGACTGGAAGTGAAATAGCTCCTGGCCCGAAACAGAAAACCAAGTTTTTTGGATGCACTCTTAGCAATTGATCTCACGTGATTTTCCCAAGAAAGGTTATTGTTGATAATAATCCCGAGCATCGAAATCGTTGATATGGAGTATAGAAATAGGGCTGGTGCTAGAATTGATCCTTGCGGAACACCAGCATTTACATGATAAGAAAGTCAGATGAAACTCCGTCGACCACTACATGGAGAGACCTGTATTCTGGCGGTATTTTGGTAAGAAGACTATTATGTCGATCCAATAGTTCTGTAACCTCAATCTTGAATTCAATGTTATTGTTCTCTTGTTCAATTTCCTACAAGATAATAATTTCTTTACTTTATGAATTCCTAACTAATCTAGTTTATTTTACAGCTGGTAACGATCCATATCAAGTGGAGCTGAAAACTCAAGGGAATCTGCTATTATCTGGTGAGTGATTGTTTAATTATATTATAAAATAGTATTATCAATCCATAATTCATTTTCATTTTATTTTTTTAGGTATCAGGAGAATCGTATAGCAGCCGTGCAAATTATTGATGAAAACCAAGCATACTTTATGGAATGATTATTGTAGAATTTGTTGAATAAATGAATTTTTATTGACTATTTCATCAATAGTCACTTTCAGGAAATAATTATTATGATTCAGAATATTGAAACCGTAACAGATATATTTTTGTATTTAGTTCACTAAATTTCAAAATTTTGAGGAAAAATCTCGAAATAAGAGTGAATTTAAAAATTTTGGGAAACAATTTCAAAATTTTGAGAAAAAATCTTGACATTCTGAGAATAAATCTTGAATTTTTGAGAACAATATGGATATATAACTTCGCTTCAGAGAGTTATACAAGGTGTTTTTGAAAATTTCAATCTTTGAAAAGTGGCTACAAATGATTTTAAATACTGAATAATCACATGGTCGAGAACGCTAAAGCTGATTGAGTGAAATAGTGTTATCATCATTATCAACATCATTATCTGACTATAAATAAACCTGTAATCTAATTTAACATTCTTTTTAACGTGAGGTTGATACAGGAGTGGATGCACAGTGAGATCGCTCTGTTCGTCAGCATTAGTAGTGATGAACGATTGATTGAGTTTCTATAAAAATATCAGATTCTATCCAAAATGAAAACCGTTTGGCAAATATTTGTCGTGATCGAATTCATATGTTCTGTGTACGGTTACAAAATATTAGTGGCATTCCCGTCACCTTTCAGCCACTTCAGATTGGGCAGTACTCTTGCTAGGGGTCTAGCAGAGGCAGGTCATGACGTGACTATGGTGGGTAATTTCGAGGACAAAATACTGCCGAAAAATGGGAATTACACGAATATTGTCCTGAAGTACGGGGTGGATGGAGAAGGTAATAAGCAAAAATTTACCTATTTATTATACATTAGCAGACCTAGCAAACGTTGTTTTGCTATATATACATTAAGTATTTCTATGATATGATAATAATAATAATTAAGTTTTTTTTATTGAACAGGAAGACATATAACATAGAGAATAATTCCATATACAGTAAGCAACCCTGATTATATATACATATGTTATTATTGGTCCACCTGTCAATAATTGGCAGGGTTCAGAAGGTGCCCTAAGACAAATTTTGCTCTTCCACCCAACCGTACAATTACATATTTTTTCAGTTCGATATTCATCAAGACACTATAATTATCTCGTTTTCTACTTCTTTTTGTTTTCGCTATTTATAAAAGCGTGTTCCTTTAAATTTTCGAACTATCATTCATTTCAACTTCTTTTTAGTTTACTTGAATTTCCCAATTTCCACGAAAGAATTAAAATATTCGACTCCTAAGACCCCAGATGAGAATTTTGAATAAAATCGGAACATAATCACAAAACTCGTCCTCAATATTGGATCTACCATCTTAAATTCCCTAATGTTGACGGAGGAATCATAATTTTTGATCCCGAAAACGCCCACTGACGAATTTTGAATAGAATCGGTATATATAATTACAAAACTCGTCCGGTATATTGATTCCACCAGATAACGATTTTGAGGAGAGTCGGATCATAATTCCAATACTCGTCCGCCATATTGGGTCCGCCATCTTGAATTTACTAATTTTGACGAAAGAATCATAATCTCCGACCCCGAGAACCACCAGTTACCAAATTTGAATAAAATCAGATCCTTATTATAAAATCCGCAATTTGGATCCGCCATCTTGAATTTCTTAATTCTGACGAAGGAATCATAATCCCCGATCACGAAAACCCCTAGGTATCAATTTTGAAATGAATCGGATTAAAAATTACAAAACTCGTCCGCCATATTGGTTCCGCCATCTTGAATTCCGAAATTCTTCACGAATTTTCAAATTCCGACGGAAGAATCATAATCTCCGACCCCGAAAACCCCCAGATACCAATTTTGAATAGAATCGGACCATAATTACAAAACTCGTCCGATATATTAGGCCCGCCATCTTGAATTTCCTGATGGTACCGGGATAAAAAGAATCATATAACCTTCTCCTGGTTCTAAGCTACCTCCCCACCAATTTTCAGCCAAATCCATCCAGTAGTTTCGGAGCCTATTCAATAGATACAAACAAACAATCAAATCTTTCCCGATCTTTCCTCTTTATGATATTAATAAATATTATAAGTGATAAAGAACTAATGAGATAAAATCTGTTCCTATACCGTAGAATCGATGTCGAATCGGTTTAGAGAAATCTGGAAAATAAAGTACCTTATATCAAAGGCCGACTTTCTGGAAAATTGTCGATGAATCGTGATCATCACTGAAAAAATTCGGCAACATCAATAGATAGACCGCCTGAAGCACAATTTCAAGAACGACGTAGTCAAATAAATATTCGTTCGAAAGAAAGATAGGGTGGCCCACGAGGTTTTGGCCAGTCGATATCTCGAAAACTATTTGAACTACAATTTTGAATTTTTGTGGTTTTGAACAATGGAATGCGGTGACCATTTTTGGTATAAGAGGGTTTTATTGCAACATCGCATTTCCAATCACGTGATATCAACTTCACAATTTTAAATGGAACACCCTGTATATTATTGCATTTTTGTGAAGACCTTTCTAATGCAAATACTACGATACCATCATTGTCAGGGTTTTCATGTGAAACGGTGACAATATGAGCTGTCAAATAAATGGAAAATGGAAAATGTATTAAAGAACAACAGTATAATTAGGAAACGAAACAAAATAAGTAGGAAAAGCATTACAGTTGATGCTCAAATTGATGTTCATCTTTAGTAACGCAATGCTCAAATCTTGTTAAAAGATTTCTAGTGCATGCTGCTCTAATCATTTCAGGTGTAACAGTTTGGCACGCTGCTCTGATTTTGTTTTGCAAATCATCTAAATTTGTAGGCTGTGTAGAATAAACCAATTATGGTATCGTAGAATTTGTATTAGAAAGAACTTCACGAAAATGCAATAATATACAAGGTGTTCCATTTGAAATTTTGGAGTTGATGTCACGTGATCGGAAATGCGATGTTGCAATAAAACCATCTTACATCAAAAATGAACACCACATTCCACTGTTTAAAACCACCAAATTTCAAAATTATTGTTCAAATAGTTTCCGAGATATCGACTGGCCAAAACCTCGTGGGCCACCCTGTATAGATAGCTATTATTTTATCAAATTTGCCACCTTATACAATTAGGTGATGGGAAAGAAAAAATAAGTGAGGAAAACACACTGTTCGTCAGAATATAATTCAAAGACAGACTTCCATACTCGCAATATTTCAAAAACTGAATTTGTAATGAATCATTTTTGAGGACTTCATTACTACACCATTTCCAGAGGTATTTAATACAAACGACGCTTTCTGAAATTGAATTGACAATTCTGAAATACAAGTGACGCTTTCTGATATACAAGTGACTATTCTTAAATACAATTGAAGCTTTCTGAAACACAATCGTCGCTCCCTGAAATTCAATTGACTATTCTAAAATACAATCGTCGCTTCCTGAACCAATTGACTGTTCTGAAATTCAATTGACGCTTTCTAGAATACAAGTAACTATTCTGAAATACAATTGGAGCTTTCTGAAACGCAATCGTCGTTTCCTGAAATTTAATTGACTATCCTGAAATACAAGTTACTATTCTGAAATATAATTGGAGCTTTCTGAAACACAATCGTCGCTTCCTGAAATTTAATTGACTATTCTGAAATACAATCGTCACTTCCTGAAACAATTGACTATCCTGAAATACAATTGGAGCTCTCTGGAATACATTCCTCGCTTCCTGCAATGCAATTAACTATTCTGAAATACAATTGACGCTTTCTGAAATTGAATTAGAAATTCTGAAATTGAATTGGAAATTCTGAAATTGAATTGAAAATACTGAAATACAATTGACGCTTTCTGAAACACAATTGTCGCTTCCTGAAACAATTGACTATTCTGAAAATCAATTGACCCTTTCTAGAATACGAGTTGGTATTCTAGAATACAAGTTGGTATTCTAGAATACAATTGAAGCTTTCTGAAACACAATCGTCACTTCCTGAAATTCAATAGACTATTCTGAACAACAATCGTCGCTTCCTGAAACGATTGACTATTCTAAAATTCAATTGACGCTTTCTGGAATACAAGTGACTATTGGAAACATATTAAAATTTATTATTATTATATAAGCGAAAATGATCAGAAATTACATATTTCTGCAGTATTGTCATTATCATTTATACATTCATCACATTTTCATTTCAGATATGGTGAAGCCAGATTTTTTAGAAATAACGAAGCTTAATACATTCTCAGAAATATTTCTCCTAGGCGTCTTGGGCAACAAAGCGGTCCAAGGTACCCTAGAGAATCCGACATTCCAAGAACTTCTCCGTTCCAACAAAACTTTCGACGTCATCATCTTAGATCAGTTCCTCAACGATGGCTTGAAAGCAATAGCATGCCACTTTAATGCTCCTTTGATAATGTTCAGTACAATTGCCGCTAATTCTTGGGTCAATACCATATCTGGAAATCCAGCTCCACCTTCCTACATACCAGATCTTTTCTCGGAATATGGACCACATATGACGTTCTGGCAGCGAACGAAAAACACGTTGGTAGTACTGTTTCATGATTTGGTCCGATATTTCATAACATATCCGAAACAAAACGAGATGGTGAAGAAATATTTTCCTCAGTGCCCTAACGTCGAGACTTTAACAAAGAATGTATCATTATTCTTCTTGAATTCTCACCAAAGCTTCCATCAGTCAGTGCCTCTAGTACCAAGTATGATCGATATAGGTGGCTTCCACGTGCCGCATCCTAGGAAATTGCCAGATGATCTTCAAAAAATCATGGACAATGCCAAAGAGGGAGTTATATACTTCAGCATGGGCTCGAATATAAACCCTTCAGAAATGGAACCACATACTAAACAGGCACTCATCAATACCTTGGGCAAGTTGAAGGAGACCGTTCTCTGGAAAAATGACGAAGATTTACCAGGAATAAGCTCAAACATTATAATCAGGAAATGGTTTCCTCAAATGGACATTTTGGGTAAGTAACTGGGTTTTAGAAGTATAGAAGTATATGTACCTACATCGTTGATATGTGTTCTGTGTAGGCTTTGTTACTGAATCCATACGCCACTTCATTAGCAGCACTTTTAATTGGAACGCATCAGTGAATCGTGCAGGACTATCCCCAGCCCATCGCATCTCATTTGTTCTACCACACGTATATTGAAACAATACTCATATTTTCATTTGATTCAATCAATTTATTATTCGATTTTTTTTATTCATTTTGATTTTTGCTTTGAAATTATACTTTCATTGAAATTCAATGAAAACATGTGTTTATACTGGTTTACAGGTATATTTCCACAGGCTAAGGAACTAGAAAATATTGTGAGAACATACATCTTTCACAAGGGGTGTCTCACTCTGACAATAGAGTGTACACTTTCCTTCGAATCTGCTGAAAATCTTGGAAATCTCACCAATCCAAGCTCCAATCTTGAACACCACAAATCTCTCTTCGAATATCTGAATATCTTTTCGAATCTGTCAATCTTTCCTCAAATCCGAGAAATCTAGGAAGTACTGTGACAATCTTCCGAATCTCAAGCTCGAATATCAGAAATCAGTAAATCTTGCTTCGAATCCTTTCAATCTTTGAAATATTGTGGCAACCTCTCAATCCCAAGCGCAAATCTCTCAATTCGACATCCAGAATCCAGAATATTCCTCGTCGCGAATTTTAAGAAAGGGTGGGGGCGAGGGTCCTCTCTCGGGCTCACTGCTGATGGCTGGATTTCCACAATAAAACTTCATAACATCTTCATAATTTCTCAACTGCAGTACCTGACCTATACCTATATGGTAGGAGTCGGGAGAGTATAGTCCAGCCCCTCCACTCCACCCAACCACGTGACTCGGCTAGCCAATCAAGGGCCAGCAATTGGTAGAAGGCCACGCCCACTGAAAACCGGCGCGAAATTCGAATTATTCATACGTCGTCACGTCGCCATCGTGAATAAGCTAGCTGCCAGTTTGCTGCTCCATCCGTTCAATATACAGTGTGCTCGAATAAAAATATATACAGGGAACTCGTCGCCCACCTTAGATGGATCCTACAAACATCTTCTCTCAATCTTCAGTAAATCTCGTTAATCCTTGAGAAATCCTTAGGAATCTGAGAAATCTTGAAAATCCTTGACAAATCTTGAAAATCTCGCAGATTTTTGGGAAATCCCAGGAATCTTGATGAATATTCAAAAATCACTCAATCTTTGGATAAATCTTACAAATCCTTAAAAAATACCTAGAAATCTGTAGAATTTTGGAAATCTTGGAAATCCCAAGAATTGTTACAAATATTATCAAAAAAGCATCTCACAATATCCAATCGGTGTACACATTTTGTTGAAGTAAGACACCCTCGATTTTTCACTAAGCCGTGTTTTACATAGAAACAAAGGGGTCACATTGAGAGTTTACGAATAGATGTCCTCATTTAAAAAAAATACTTTATCTACACTCTACAAAAATTTGCGACTACACGGTTATTTCCTTCTATTTTTTGTTCGTTCACTGAACTACCCATTAGGCTAAATTAAACATGATTCACACAAGATTTCGACAATTTCTGATCATTCAAACATGACTCTCAGACGTTTATTATCACTTCAGCACACCCAAACGTGAAATTGTTCATTACACATGGAGGACTGCTCAGTACAACAGAAACACTTCACTATGGGGTACCGGTATTAGCTTTACCAGTTTTTGGAGATCAGAGGCTCAATGCAGCTAAGGCAGTGGCCGCAGGATACGGGATTTCTCTACGTTTTATAGACCTCACAGAAGAAAACTTCAGTTTGGCACTGAATGATTTGCTAAGAAATCCAAAGTAAGTAAAAACATCAGCAAACAGTGAAACGCGTTGAATGGGATGAATATTCACTTGAAGAGGTAGATATTTCGTATTCATATGCAGATATGAATCCAAACTTCTGCTATGGAACGTTTTATACAGATTCCTTTGTTTTTGTGATCATATTCACCCCACACCATGCTCCATCCTTTTATGCGTGATATGAATAGCATATCAAAATAGTTTTTTAGTAATGATTATTGGACGGAAATTAAACTATAGAAAGCGAGAAGTAACACGAAATATATATTTTAAATTGAGATGCTAATGTAGTAATGGGCCGTATAACCTGATGCCTGCGCATCAAATAAGAAGAAGAAGTGTGACGTGACAAATGACATGGACAAGATAAGTGACAGTTGACATTGGGTGTTGGCGGGATAAGTAGTGTGGAAGACGAGTAGGGGTAGATAGAGCCCGCTATATCCCTCTTTGTACGATTCATGTCCTTTTATGTTGATTTTAATAATACTAAACACAGTTACAAGTTACAAGCTCTGCATTAACAAATTCATTTCGAATAGACCGGCAAAATACTGAATATTCAATTAACAATACTTACTAGAAATGTTACTACTTAGTAAGGCCTTTCCTCGGGCCTTCCCTCTTATTTCAAAACCACGTGACATCGTGTTGGTATATCGATTCTATGAGGTTGTCGATCTGATGAAATCCATTGGTATTGCCTATTCTTTCGAGGGGATTGACTTGTCAATATTTTGAGGTGCCTCTCGCCTCGCTTCTCGCCCTCATGTTTGATCGAATTCAGATCTGGAAATATTGCTGGCCACCACATTCTTCTATAAAACTCCGTGTATGATATTGAAGACATTATTAGTCCTCAATGATCACAAGGTATCTCTAGGAAAGCATTTGAACTCGAAGATCTTATCCATGGATTGAAAATTATCGGTCATATAATTAATGAATGTAATGTGAGGAAAATATCATCTTGTATTTCTTTTTTTTTTAATTGACTCGGCCGTCACTTGATGGGAATCCATGGCAAATGTGAAAACTTCACAAACGATAAGATTTCCACAAAATTCTCAAACACACATGTTTCGCTAAGACAGTAGCTTCGTCAGGTGATATACTGGAACACTGAACTAAACTAACCTTGGCTTTCTTAACTTTTATATATCCTACTTTCCCAACCTGGAGGATTAGTTACCTGTGGACAAGTTCAATAAACCTTCATTTCCGGAAATTAGGCACAATATCTACATTAGAATAAGGTGTAGGTACCGGATTAACTTGAAAAGGTTGTTAGCAAACTAAGAAAACAAATTCAACAGTGGTGAACTATTGAGGTCTAGTTGATCGTTAGGTAAAATGTCAGACTTTTTGAGTTTGTTGATTTCAAATGATTCAAAATCATTGAGTTTCATTTTTTTATTTTCTACGTGTAGAATTTCGAAATTATCATCAAAAATATGGTTTTCTTCTAATATATGGTTGGCGTATGTCGAATTTGTTTCCTTGTTCAAAAAAGTCATCTTATGTTCATGAATGCGCTGATTAAACGTACGACCTGTCTGACCGATATATACCCTAGGACAAGATCCACAGTTGAGTTTGTATACCCCGATTGTTCGAATTTAGATGTTTTGTTTCTATTAGTTTTGGGAATTTTGTCGAAATCTTATCGCTTTTTGAATTTTTCACATCTTGTGTTTCAATTAGACGTGAATTTGCGAATACATCTCGAATTATTATAGTCTAATAAAAATAATGGATATCCAGACGGCCCCTTCTGAATATCATGAATCGAATGAGACATTTTTAGTCTCGGTTTTAGTCATCGTCGAGATCACCGTTTTTCATTTTTTTAATGAAATGAAATGTCTTCCTCTTCTTCTTTGGCCCTGTATATTCAACTATGCTGCTTCATCCGTCTTTCATTGACCTCCAGAAGACATAAAAACAGTTTTTCCAGATATTAAGTTCAAGTGGAGTCCTGGAGATAATTTTCAAGAAATGACTTGAAAGGAAATATATTTCTTCTGTGACGGGAAAAAAGTTGGAAATGTCATCTCTATTGATACGTTATGAAATGTCACTTTTCATAAATTACTTTTTTTCCACGGAAAAAAAGGGACTAAATAGCTTTGCATCAGCTGAAAAGTGAAGAGTAGTAGTATGGCCTGGCGATCTATGCTAGAAGTCGACTATTTTGCTAGTTTGGTTTTTTATTGTATTGATGTGACATTTCAGAAAATTCCCGATTCAATACTGAATTTCGTTCAACAAAACAGTTTGTCGAATTGAAATACAGTTTCTATTGAATCAACGAAATATTCTGATGAATCAACAAAATATTTCATTGAATCAACCAAATATTTGTCTTCTCTGCGAATAAATGCGAATATATATTCGCACTAAAATGATCACGGCGACTCGGTCGACCTCAGACTACTAGCAATTGTTTTACTCGCAGTGACGTATACGAAGAAGAGTCGTAGCACACCATAATTATAATAATTCTACCATTGAATTAACCAAACACTTAATTGAATCAACCAAATATATTGAATCAATATCTTGTCATTTTGAATCAAATAAAATGATTGTTTGAGCCAATTTCGAGGCCAATTCAAAATCTTTTCATGAACAATTCATGGATGTGCTTGATTGAATGAGATCCTGCGTTCATGCAAGATATTCACTTGATTCAAACTTCAAATTCGCTTGAAACAAGATATGGATTTAGTGATTTCAAGATTATATTTTGTCGTGCATATATGACACTTATATTTGCTACACTCAATTAAATTTTGCTTGATTCAACGATTCCTTTTTTTGTTTCGTTTTATAGAAACGAAGAAAGAGAATCCCAAATAACCTATAGCAAAATATATATATATAACCTATAGCAAACTTGAATACTCTTTGTATAGGTCAATCGAGGAGGTGGAACATTAATTATTCCAAATTTTGTCTCTCCTCGTTTCTATAAAATAAAAATATGATCTTTGTTATTAAAATAATTACTTCTTATGTTGAAAACGGGAGCAGATTCGGTCCCGAAACGTCCAAAGATAAGTGAAAATTTGATATTTTTTCTATATACCTTTATTTCTCTTCTCCAAACTTTTTTCAATACAAATTGTCACTGACAAGCTAGTGAATTTTTCTTTTGGGGCAAATCATCTGATTTGTCCTTACTACACGTATATTGAAATAATATTCATATTTTTATTTTGTAGAAACGAGGAGAGAAAATCCCAAAAAATTTTGAATAATGAATGTAAATTACTAATGAAATCTTTCGTTTTATCAGATACCGCGAGAATGCCAAAAGAATATCCAGACTGATGCAAGACAGACCCATAAAACCCATGGATCTCGCTGTATACTGGACTGAATTCATTGCAAGGCATGGTGGTGCACCCCATTTGAGGGTGGCTGCAGTCGACATGCCTTGGTACAAGTATGCCTTGGTCGATGTCATAGCAACACTGCTATTCATTTGTTTTGGTGCATGGACGATGCTGTATCTGCTTGTTAGGAGACTTTGTTGTCGTACTTCTGATGTCAAATTAAAGAAGAACTGATTAAAGTTTAGGTGGATATTGAGGTCTTTGAAGCACGCTTGTTTTTTCGTGCACGACGATCAAGCCGGAGTGCTCGGAATAGAGCAAGTTTTAGAGACTAGATATCCACGAATATTTTTGAGCTATGTTTTTTATTGGTACACTCTTAGAAAGAGGATGAAAAAATTAAAATTCCAAGAAACATTTCTTAATAATTCATAGTTGCATTTACCAATAAATTACATTTTATTCTGAGAAATTCTTCGAGGAGAAATTAGTGTATGATCTAGCAAGGCTGATCATCAAAAAATTATTGATTTTGAATCAAGAATTTTTATCTTTTATCTATGGATTGAATGAACATTAAACATCTATAATCCGTACAGGGTGATATTGAATCAATCTAGTTCAGACTGGCGATGATGATGAGAAATTTAGTTTTTTTTATCAACACCCTTTTATTATCTTCACTTGAATGTATGTATATGTATGTAACCAACTCCTTTGGACTCAATTTTGACCCACTTAAAACGAATCGATTGATTTGAAATTTTGCAGGTATACATTGTTCGGGTGGCAATACATCATGAAATTTGTGTTAGACAAAAAACAAAATGGCGGACGAGTTTTGTTATTATAATCTGATTCTAGTCAAAATTGGTATCTTGGAGTTTTCGTGGTCGAATATTATGATTCTTTCGTCAAATTGGTATATTCAAGATGGCGGATCAAATATGGGCGCGGACGAGTTCTGATGTAATCATGATCCCAATCTATTCGACACTGGTATCTGGGGGTTTTTGGGGTCGGAGATTATGGTTCTTTCGTCACATTGGTAAATTCAATCCAATATGGCGGACGAGTTTTGTAATTATGATCGAAATCAAAATTCTATTCAAAATTGGTATATGGGGGTTTACGAGGTAGGAGATCATGATGCTCTTGTCAAAATTGAGAAATTCAATAAGGTGGGTACAATATGGCAGAAAATTAGTATCTGGGGATTGCTGGGGTAGAGGATTATGGTTCTATCGTCAGAATTGGGTGATTAAAAAAAATATAAGAATACTCAAAATCACTCTTTTGTAGATAGCCGAACCATAAATAGAAAATGGATAGTAGTTTGAAAAATTGAAGAAACACCCTTTTATATTAGATAGCCAAACTGAAAAGAAGTATAGGAAATAAAATAATAAAAGTGTGTTGAAAATTCACAACATAGAAAATGTAGTGATTACGGAGATACAAATATTTTCTATATGTTGTTACATTTTCATCACATTATAAATCAACAATTTTTGTGTTTTTTTCTCACTAAAATTGAGGAATTATACCAGGTCTACCTCCTTTTTCCCCCTCAGCTTTAGAGATAAATGACCCATCAACTTGATGAACGTCATGTTTTGACATAAATATGTTTCATTTTCTACTTCCAGTTTCACCGGAAGTGGTTATAACTTTTGATTTTCAAATGGAATACCCAATATCATTACATTTTCGAATTCTAGATATAATTTTCTGAATCCAATGATACGACATAAGTGACATTTCAAAGTTCAATATTGATATTAATTTTATTTTTGATTTTCCACCTCAGAGTCGGTGTATATACTCCTATCGACAGGTGTGATGCTAAAAAAAATGTGATCCTTCCAAAAATAAACGATTTCTTGATTTATACACCCGGTATATGCTGTTTTAATTTCATTGATTTTTCATGAATTTTTTTAGCGATTAGCACATAATATCCTCCCGTAGATTATTTAGAAAAATTATAAGTCGTAGGTGGAATTAAGCTTTTTGTAGAGTTCATAAAGAATGTGTATGGTACATGCAATAATGTGTCTCGATTTTTCTATGCTTCTTGTATAATATTTCAAATATTTGAATGGATCTCAGTACGGAACCTGAAATCAGGAGCATGCATAAACAACGGATTAGTTTAATGCTACCCGAAGCGAAGTTAAAAATCTCTTGAAAAATGATCGTAATAAGTAAGTACAAATGCATGCTCGATGGGTTTATGGAGGATAATACCATAAGCAGGTAGTTTATCGACATTTTATAAAGTTTTTTTTCACAGCCGCGTGAAGATTTTTCACGACTCAAAGACATCTGAGACCAGCGACATCAAGGCGTTTGTTACGGAGGTTTTCAAGAAATTTAAATATGAATGAAACTGCTCAACAATTAAACTATAATGGGCCTTTGCAGTATCGTGATATTTGACCCTTTTTCGCTATAATCCTTTGAAGGGAAGTGAAAAACGATATCCTGACCACATATTCATCGAGAAAATCGAACGACAAATATGAATTATTTAATATTAAAAATGCTATTTCAACTATTTCAAGACCTGTGAATTCAAACGCTACTGAGATGTGATGTCAGTGTCTTCTTGCAATTTGATTGGTTGGAGTTCTGACGGCTGGGAAACACTCCACTGGTGCCAGATCTCTATAAAATCCTTGAATTGATCCTATGTGCAATGATTCGAAATTACTTGTAGTAGGTGATTAGGTGATTGGCAATTCACTGCTGATTCTATTCAATTTACTCTGAACTCCAAAGTATTTCATTAGCTTCAAGATTAGCTAGGATAAAATGTAATGCAGGCATCTAACACTAAGACGCTTTCTATATACCTAGTTTGGTTTTAGTTATGTCGAAATTTCGTTGTTAACTAATTGTTATAATCAAGAAATTGAACAGTATTACTATGTCTCAAGCACTTATTTCCGGAAAATTCAATTGCTAATCTGGCAACTGCCGCTAACACAATGTTGCCATGTTAAAAATACTTCTATTTTAAGGTATTCCAGAGCCCTATATTTCAAGAAATATGTTCTCTAGAAATGAATGGAAACCCATTTCCGTTCATTCATATATTCACTAAATTACATAATAAGTTTCCCAGGAGTGGAAATGAGCTAATTATCTTATTTTTGTTCATATTATGAACGGCTTTTGAATTATATCTGTCTCCGATGGAATCAATACTTTCCTGACTGATGAATTCTAATTATTCGAAATGACTGTTGTGGATATCCAACAGAAAAACAACAACTTCACTGGCGTGAACATTATTTCTAATTAATTTATTTATATCTACATAAAATCAGCTTTTCATCGAACTGCTTCTGTTTTCAAGCAATCACGCCTCTATTGTCCAGTAATTATACTAGTCCAGTCTCCCCTACAAGGTAATTGGTTTAACAGATACCGAGAACATAACAGATGCCTTATAATAACGAACATAATTCCAGCAACTCATTGTTGATTAGGATAGATCTTGGCCGGCTTCCTGTAAAGCCTAAGAAGATTACATTTATTTTTCAATTGTTGCCCGTTTCTCCATCCAATCAACGAACTGGTGGAAAATTTGAAAGTAATTTTGCTCGAGCCAGAGACAGGGACGACTTCAGAACTGTTTTCTGGTCAACAAAAATCATTTTTAATTTGTCAGCTTCAGAGGCATGTGAATGAACATACTATTATGATATGTACATATATTGCGAAGTTGAGACTTATTGTCTTTCGTGCAGTTTTTGATAAGCTCTCGCATGTCTAGGGTTCAGTTCCAAGATACTTTCTACGGTTATGTAACGGCAAATTATTTTGAGGAGGAGGGTGCCGCACGTGGGTACATAAGACCAGAACATGCCTTTGGCATCTCATCATATTTTTCTCCAAACATACACTGAACACTTGGACTGCGAGAAGAGTTTCAACTTCGGTCAGAAACTACCAGGATTGGCTCACTCTAAGGCATTCATACATCCTTCGAAGAAAGTCACCAAACAAAACAAACAAAAACAGCAAAGAAGACCTACGCTCTCTAATAGGCCTACTCACAGGTCACTCTCGTCTAAATTATCATGTGTCAATAAGACTATATAGATAGACTGTCGGATGATATGGCATGCCATCTCCGTCTTGATGATGATAAAACAGCAGAGCATATAGAATCAGGTTTCTGTTTGGCAAGGTTTCATTCTCGTCCTGGGACCTGAAAGATCCTACCAAGTGAACTAGTCGGCTCCATAATAATATAGAAGATTGATCTTCTTGGTGAAATATGAATTAGTGACCCCAAAATAGACCCTGCGGGTCAAATGTCGAGTAGACTCACTAACTCTGATCCTAACCTAACCTAACCTAACTCCCTGATGTTGCTGGAGTCGGTTAATCGATGACCCTAGAAACCTTCTAGCATTGGCATCATTCCATCATGACAATATGTGGACTCATCAGCAGTTGTCCTTCATGGAATTACCATCGTTCACCAAATTCGGATAGCTCAGTATCACGTAAATGCAGTCCACATTGTCATACCTACAACATTTCCTACCAAGGAACAAAACAGAAACTGAGATTGCTCTTCAATAATTGCAGATAATAATGAGAAAAAACAATTGTTTAGTATAACATGATATTTTACATTCACCGACCAATGGACATATCTCGAGATGCTCAAGCTGCAGCATGGTGAATTGTGTATGAGTTATCGAATATAGACTTGTGTTCCTGTACTCCATTTTTGTGACATTCAGGATAGGCTATCCAGATTTTACATGACTGTTTCCGTTCATAAGATACAGAGTACGATTTTGGGACACATACGAAGTTATAAGAAATATAGTGTTACGCTAAGAGAATTTTGCGCAGAATCCAGTGGTGTATACTGAATAACAAATTACACTTTCTGATTTTTTTGTTATATTATAGAGAAATGAAAATTGTGTATTCCATAAAGAATGGCTGAGAGAATAACTGGACTTCAGGTTACTGATGAGGGTTTGATACCTGAAATGAATTCATCAGAATAAAGTCATATAACCTGTTTTTGATGGATAATATTCCCATATCACTGATACGAATGATTTTTGGAAGTTTTAAGCTTATCAAGATCAGAGATTATACAAGTATACTCATCCTTTACATTTTCATTTTCATTTCAATACTGAATATATTGGTAAGTTATATTTTTATATCATTATATTGAAAGAGAATGTCAATGAGAGAATGTCAATTCCCAATTTCAGAAGATCTTTATTTTCTGTTCTCCTTTTGGATGTTCAACAGATATAATTCAATGTTCGTCGTGGCATATAGCCAGGAAAGTAGTTGTTTCCTGTTGA